TTGAATAGAGGTGAAAAGCATTTAAAGATTACTTGTGATAATGCTGGTGGACAAAATAAAAATAATGTAACAATTTGGTTTTATTTATATTTGGTAATTTGTGGTTATTACAAAAGCATTGAATTAAATTTCATGGTTCCTGGACATACCAAATTCAAATGTGATGGTAGTTTTGGTTTAATAAAAAAACTCTACAGAAAAACCAGAGTAGATTGTCTAGATCATGTGGTTGAGGTAATAAAAAAATCTAGTCCAGCAGGATTAAATAAAGCTCAATGTTATGAAGGTGGAAAAGGTTTTCAATTCTTAGATATTAAAGCAATTTTGGGAATTTATTTTAAGAAACTAAATGGTTTACAAAAGTATCAACATTTTCTTTTCAAAGCATCTAATCTTGGTGTAGTCAAAACTCAGGAAGTGGCTAATGGAACTTTTATTGAATTCAATTTATTAAAAACTAAGAAAACAGATATTTTTGAAGAAATTAAAGCCTTATCTATTTTAGTATTGACACCACCTCCTTTGGATTACAAAAGGCAAGCATATCTTTACCAGAATATTCGTCCATTTGTTAGAGATGAATTCAAAGATATTACTTGCCCAAGACCAATCTATACTGGCAATGAATAAAATGTTTAGAATAAAATTACCTTTGTTACTTCACCATTTGTTAATTTGTTCCTTACTGTCATTAAGTTTAATAAATTTAATCTTTCAATGAATATTCCACTTTTAAAGTAAAAAGGTACTAAAATAATTATATACTTAATATATCATCATAAAAAGGATATAAGTATATTATATTAAAAGAATAAATAAAAAAAAGGAACAAACAAGAAAATCATGACAAACATAATAACAAATCTCCAAGAAAGAAACAAAGAACTATCAGACAAAATTGCCGATTTAGAAAAGCAATTAACTGATAAGGAAGAGAATTTTAAACTAAGAATTTGAAATGCGGTTCATGGTCTTACTGAAAATGTAGAAGAATATACTGGTGTAACTTTGAAAACCTTAGAAAGATTTACTTGACCTAACAATGGTTGAATAAGTTATCCTGAAAAGAATGGACTTGAAATCGGAAGAGTTGTTTTCAGCAATGAATTCACTCCTGAAAATATTGTTAAAAGTTTCGGTAAGGAAGCCCAAAATTATGAAGAAACTTTTAGTTTTACCTACCAAGAAAATAAAGAACTAAAAGAAAAAAATACTATTCTAGAAAAAACCAATCAAAAATTAGAAAAAGAACTCAAATTTGAAAAAGCAAGTGCCAGTTGCCATTTAGATGCTGTGAGAGTTTGTGAGGACTGATGCAATGAAAAGCATGCCAACAAAATAGAGAGCTTGGTAGAAGAACTTGATAACAACAAAACCACGTTGCTTGATTTTGTTAGAAGACTTGCTGAAGAAAAGGCAAAAAATATGAAGTTGGTAGAGCAATCAGAGGAGGATAAACAAGCTTTGAAAAATCTTAATGAAAGACTAGTAGAAGAAAAACAAAACAGTTTGAAAATTTACCTAGATAAACCTTTACCTAAATTACCAAACAAGTTCAAAACCTTTAAGAGAAAAGTAAAAACTAAATTCCAACACTTAGTAGAAAAAGTTAAATCTGAAAAGCAAGAACTAGAACAAAAACTTATTGCTAAAATTGAGGTAAAGATTGGTAGTTGCTAATATATGAAAGATCTAATTTATACACTTTTAGAGTTGGAAGATTGGTGTAGTGATGGTTCAGTATGTGATTTTTGCTTTGGTCTTAAAAAAGCATCTTATCAAGTCAAAACCCGCAATCAAATCACCAACAAAATATTAGCAAATGATTTTATTTGTGAAAATTGTAAGGTAAGATTTGAAAATGATGAGTTGCCAAAGTGTAACAAGTGTGGTAGATTAAGAATTCAATCTGACATTGAATATCCTACCAGCAAAGTTGTTTGTCGTTGTGTTAAGAGAAAGGAAAATACAGAAGAGAAAAAACTCCCTCTTTTACCTCACCAAAATGGAGGAATGGCACTTTTTTATGAAACACAAATAAACTCTTTACAAGAGCAATTAAACACTGCTGGAACAGAAATTGATACTCACCTAGAAGCTTTGGAAATCTCAGAAGATTGGCATAAAAGGCAGAAACAAGAGTTGTTAGATAAGATTAAACAACAAGAAGCAGAAATTATTAAATTGACTCAGAAAATTGAACAATTGAAAACTTTAACCCCTCAAGAGTTAGTCAATAAGTTAAATGCTTATGAGACAGAGAATGAGAAATTAAAGAACCAGTTAGAACAATTACAACAGAATGGTCAATTAACTGCACAAATTGAAATTAAAGAAACTAAGAAATGACCTTGATTGAAAATAAGAAAGTAATTTAAAGAATATTGAGGAAGTATTTTCCTCTAATATAAATGAAATTCATTCCAACTGTCTTTTAGATAAAGTTAAAGAAAATATCCTGGCTTTTGATATCTTATTATGATATCCAACATAATGAAAAGGCAACTACATTATTACTGATAAAAATAAGATTTACATTCTTTCTGATTACAAATGTAACTATAGCACTACTGGATCTAGTATCTATCATGTTAAAATTACTGTCACTGACTTAAAGATGAAGATTTTGCCAAAGTTGCTGATGAATATGAAAACAATCCTATTTGATTATGAATAGCCCATATAACTTTTTAATTGCTATGATCTATGTTGTTAAAAGAATTAAAAGGAAAAAATAAATCAATATTGTAACAAGATTATTTTTCTTCCAAATGTTTCTGCTTTTTATTGGATAATAATACACTTTCATTTTGCTTTCTTTTTTTAACATTTATTATTTTTCTTTCTTCTTGGTAAATTTCATAGGTAATCTTTTCTTTTCTTAGATAAGCTTCAAGTGTTTGAGTATCATTTATTTTGAAAA